TCTCCCCCGATCGTCATGAGTTTTCAAAAATAATGGCTAATGGCTCTGCAATCATTAGGGTTTCTGCGGGGAACTATGACTCTCCGCCACTGGGTGTCTTGCAAACTCAGGCTGCCGTCGGGCATAGGGGCACCAATTTAATAATACTGCATAGGGCCCCATAAATCCTAAGGACGGCGCTGGGGGCGCCAAAAAGCGGTGCCCTGGCTCGGCAGGGAGGAGCCGCTTTCCGGAGGCACCGGAGAGCCAGAGTGTTGGCTTGCAGGGGCGGCGAGCCCCAGCCATGGAGGGCCCTGAGCCTGCTCTGGGAGGGGCAGTGTCAGCTCACACTCCCGGGAGCCGCAGAGCCCGAGTGCGGTGAGGGGAGAGCCGGGGGGCGCACGGGGGCCTCTGCCCGCATGCATCTGCTGCAGGAGCCCCCAGGAGGGGGGGCGCCAGGCCGCAGCCTGGACAGGAGGGGCGGGGGGCACGGCTTCTCCCCGCTAGTGACGCCGCCACCGCCTTTGCAGGGCTGCTGCCCCCCTGCGCCGCGCTGACTCCTCCATGGCTGGGGCTCTCCGCCGCTGCAAGCGGGACCCTCTGGCTCTCCGGTGCCTCCGGAAGGTGACTTCTCCCTGCTAAGCTTCCGCTGTGGTCCAAGCCTGGCAAAGCCAGTGAGCGGACTCGGGGCTGGGGCCGCCAGGGTGGGGTGGGGAGGGCTCACGGGGGGGCGTGCACCCTCCAGGGGAGTTCCGGGGGTGGGGAGGGAGGAACCTGGTCTGGGGAGCAGCCCCTGGGCATGCCTGGCCCTTGGGGTCTATAAAGGCTCGTTGGGATTTGCCCCTAATGAACCGATGTGTGTCTGTGTGTGGGGGGGCAAGGTGGAAGTTTCGCCTAGGGCGCAAAATATCCTTGCACCGGCCCTGAGGAAGGAATGATACAAACATCACTGACTGCATTCCAAGAGCTCCCCATCCTTGGTTCTGTCTTACTACAGCTAGTATTGGGTTAGAAGTCGTACCAGTGTATAACAGAAATGGTTTATCAAAGTCACGTTCAATAAAATGATTAAATCTCTTTACAAACTCAAGGTAAAACATGGTTAGAACAATAGTATATTGGATCTGCTCTTGCAGCATGGTTCCTGTATGTCTCATCTGATCTTGCCAAGCGCTGAAGGACATAGCTACTTTATCCATACAAGCTCTGTCAAATGTTTGGAACCCAATTAATATCAAGACAATGTAGACATTAATGTTGTCCACAGTACAGGAAACTTGGCATTTAGCTGTGAAAGCAATATAGTAGGTGCCTCAGTTTCCCTCTTGATATAACACATCAGGTCTGGAATGTCTTTTCTTATGTGAAAAGTTCCAAGACTGTTTACAGGCACTAACTGTGAAATATCAGCATTACAAGGCCTTTTAACATAAAGTGTGTTCTTATGTATCACTTTTAACATATTCAAGGGATTTTCCAAAAGATTAGGCACATTGTACATTTTTTACAGTTCTTGGTAATAACACATTAGTTACAAAAATCACCATTAGCAATAACAACAAATCCATTGCAAGTGTCCATCTACAATCATTTTTATCATGCCACACCTTTGGCCCAATACCATTGGGATTTGGGGCTTTTGGGGTTAACCTGTGGCTTCCCTTTGCAAAATTTAATTCTCTCTTTCCTCCTTGTCCTGTAGGATCAAACCCTGATTTCTCTTGCTTAACAGAATTCAATGGCTGATTGGGTGTGCTCTCTTTGCTAACAACTATTAGCAAGTCTTTCTTCTCCCTGTCAGCCAGGTAATTTGTATCCAAACAGACAAGAGCTGGTTTACCAGTTTTCAGATCCTTAACTGTTACGGATTCCAAGACTGGACTCTGTCTTAAAGAGATACCATCCATTTTTACTAGCATGTTAGATGCAAGGTTCTTGTCCTTTTCTTACCAACCTCTGCTTCCACATGGAGTCAGATGTTATGTCCACTGAGAGACTACAAGTCATACCCAAAGTGTCTAGAGATGAGAGTGTACCTGCCATCCCCTGCACTCTCAAGAGATTAACTACACAGCTGTCCTGCTCTGCAGACTCAGCTTCCCAGTCTTCCCTCTGAATCTGAGACAGATTGTTTACTCACAGAATCAGCATGGAGACATTCCTCTCTCAACAACCTTGTCTTCCCAACAAACTGGTCAAGCACAGCCACTTGGTTATAGGGCTGTTCAGCTTTCTTAACAGCTTTTACTCCATCTGAGACCTTCTCAAAGCTACCCACACTGGATCTTTCAAAAGGAAAGTCAGTGGATCCATTCACAACTGAAACTTCCTTGGTCAAATCATTTCCACACCCTTCAGTTGCAGCAAACGCTTGCAAAGACTACCCTGAAATTTTTTTTCTTCAGGAATTTTTCTAAGGGCTTGTCTACACTACGTAGCTTTTAGCGACAAGGCTGGGTCGACACAGCCTTGTCACTAAAAGTCAGCATGTGTGAACACTCTCTGTCTGTAGCCGACAAAATACTTCCAGTCCCGCGAGCGATGTTAGCTTTGTCAGCTTTGTCGGCAGGAGAGCGCTCATTGGCAAAACTTTTGTCTTTTGCAGGGGGGCTTTTTTAAAAACCCGTGAAAGACAAAAGGTTTGTTGACAACGTCGCGGTGTCGACAAGCCCAAAGCACCAGTTCATCTTTACGTTGCTCCACAGAAGCCTTGCTCTGCTGTGCCACTACCAACTCCTGAGTTTTACTTACATGCAGAATCAACTCTGGCTCATCAGGCTTCCTACACAATCCCCTTTTAGGCAAACTGCTAGATTTCATAGTCAAAAGGTCAGAAGCATTCTCCTTCCCCTTGCCACACACAAGTTCAGGAATCTTTTCCTTCTTGATACAAGTTTCTAAACTGTCAGTAGGTAACACAATCAAATCACCTTTATGCTATCCTTGTGGCCTGGCTAGGATATCAATCTGATTAGACAAAGTTGGTGCACCCTTTCCCAGCAACACTCTAGCAACAGGCAAAGCAACAGTACCTGAATTATTTGGTCTCTGGGATTTTGCTAGGATACTAACTGGATGCAACCTAGTTACAGTGCCATTCTGCCTAGCAGACACAAACTTAGGACCATTCCCTTCCTGGGCTTTAGTTGAATCAAGAGCCAACTTTGAGACAACTGCACTACCCTTCACCATCACAGACTGAAAGGCACCTTCTGTCTGCTCCACAGACAAATAAGAGCTGGAGAAACCTTCCCCTTTAACAGACACACAGCTTGGGATCTCATTTCCCTTGTCCCAGCACACAGGGCTGTTCACAGACAACTGTTTGGAGACTGAGGTAGCTCCCTCCATGGGCAAGTCATTAACCCTAACAGACACAGGCACATTTCCTCCATTGTCACAATTCGCCACACAGGTAACAGGTAAGGTATAGGGTGTGTGACTCTGCTGTGATGCAGCCCTGCTGCTGTGCTGTGTTTCCAGATGGAGGATGCCCTCCAGAGGCCCCGTTACCCACATTCCCAGTTTCTCTTTGCCTGGAATAACTCTCACGGTGCAGACAGCTGTTGCAAAGGGTTTATTTCAGGAGTGAGGGACAGAGACAGGGAGAGTTTGGGAAACAGTCACGGATGTGAATACAACACACAGTCGTCCCCAAGGGTCCATCCCACCAAGAGGGAGATGCCTGGGGGAATGGGTGGGGCTGCTGAACCCTGGCATCCCTCACAGTAGAAAGGCCAGTTTCACCTTCATGAGCACCCCTTGTCCTCAGGCTGGCCAGTGCCCTGGAGCTTGTACTTGGAGAACCTGACCTCCAGCCTCTCCCCATGGGAGACGGCGTAGCACCCAGCACCTGGAACACGAGGAGAGGAAAGGGAAGGGAAGGGATGCAAATGGGGTCAGTGGCCCCTCAGCACCAGCCACCCACCTGCGCACACACCAGCCCCTCCCTGGGTCGGTCTGTCTTCTCCTGATTCTCATCCCCTTTCTCTTGTGCCTCTCACCCCCCCTGTTCCCCTCCCCCACACAACCCTCCCCCCTCACACTTCCCCCCACCCCCACTCTCCTCTGCTGTCCCACCTAGTGTCAATGGGATGCCACAGCTCAGGAGCTGCCAGTAGGTGCTGTCTTCGGGATGGGCCTCCAGCCCCTGCACGGAGGTGATGTACGCGCCCCACACACTCAATGTGTACATGAAGCTACAGAGAGATAGAGTGAGTCCCACAGGAGGCCTGGTTAACACTGCCTCATAGCCTCCCCAAGCCCCATTCCACAGGGACATGCAACCCAGGACACTGTGAGACTGAACCCCCATGCCATATGGGGGGGGGGAGGGGGATTGAGAGGCAGCCAAGTTGACCTCTGCCTGAGTTCTGATCTCCCGACCCCAAGGAGATAGTGTCCAACTGAGTGAGGCGGAGGAACCAGAATTGATCCCCTGATACTTTAACTCGCCCCCAGCAAACTGCTGGCTGAGGGAGTCATGCAGGGTGGGGTAGCAGGGGCATTTCCCCCCCCCCGTGATCCTAGGGACCCCCTCCAATTTTTCCATCTCTGTTGCCCTAGTAGTGCCATGCTGCCATCTAGCCTGCTCTCTGCCAGTGCCACTGGCACCAGCGATGGATGCCGGGTTGCCAGGCCGGCTAGGTACCTTTTGGGGTCTCTCTTCTGGGCGACATCCATCACATTGAAGAAGAAGGAGTCCCGGGGCCCGGTGACACAGATGGAGTCATTAAAGGATTGTTTCACGCCATCCACAGCAGTGTAGGTGACACCAATGTGGGGTTGAAGATAGGTGTGTGGAGCAGCTGTGGGGGTGGAGAGAGGGAGGTTATCTGTGTGGGTAGGGGAGAGGGTGAAGACCAGCCACTTATACCTTGGAGGGGGTGAGTCTCCCACTGCAGGGACTCCTGTACCATTGGAGTCAAGGGGAGATCCACAGATCCTACCAGGAATTGGGTGGAGGTACAGGATTGCAAAGGGAGAAGCAAAGACAGAGAGGATCTGGGTGATGGCCCTGTGGCCAGGAGGTTAGCTGGGATTGAAGACAGGGCCTCTGGATCTATGACTCTATTGCTTGAGCTAAAAGCCAAGGAGCATTAATTAGCTTGAGCACTAGAGGAGATCCATAAATCTCTAGGTCATCCAGCCACTAGAAGGAGACACAGGGCTCCATATAGTGCTGGCGTGCAATTTTTCAATGAACAAATTTTTAACTGAAAAAGGCCAATTCAGTGCAGAACTGTTCAGGAAGCAGTGCTGGGTTGGAAGAAACACTCCCCTTGAAAAATGTTTGGTTAAAAAAATGTCCATATTGGAAAGCTTTGGTTTTTCAATCGAAGCGACTTTTCATTCAGAAATTTTAGTAAATTTACACAGAAAAAAGGGAGAAAAGTATGAAATTGAAACATTTCAAAGTTATAGAAAGGACACATTTTGATTGACCCAAATTGTTGGTTTTGCTTTGGTTTGTTTTGTTTTTCTGGATTTTCAGTTCATGAAATTTTTTTAGATTTTTGACTTTTTGGCCGCATGCAGGACAGGAAAATGTTTTTGAAATGTAGAAAATTCTCATGGAACAGGAAAACAATTTCCTCCCACACCCCCCAGCGTTGCTACATGTGCTTCTGTCTACCTTAGGTACTTTAGATGGCCCCATCACCATCTAACAACAGGGCCGGCTCCAGCATTTCTGCCGCCCCAAGCAAAAAAAAAAAAAAAGCCGCGATTGGCGGCGGCAGTTCAGCGGCAGGTCCTTCGCTCCTAGAGGGAGTGAGGGACCTGCCGCCCCCGAATTGCCGCAGGTGCCGCCCCTCTCCCTTGGCCGCCCCAAGCACGTGCTTGTTAAGCTGGTGCCTGGAGCCGGCCCTGCTTAACAACCCCCCAATGAGGCAGGGCAGTGCTATTAAGCACATTGTACAGATGGGACCGAGACATAGAAAGACACAGGGTACATCTACACAAGAAAAAAACCAGCAAACTAAAAACCCTGTGACAGCAAGTCTCAGAGCCTGGGTCAACTGATCTGGACTTGCACTGTGGAGTTAAAAATAGCAGTGTAGACATTTAGGCATGGGCTGGAGCCTGGGCTCTGAGACACAACCCCCTTGGCCTGACACCTCCTACCCCGCATCCCTCACTGGCATTTCAGCTATGCAGAGATGCTCTGCACAGGCTGTTTCCACCTGGTGAAGGGAGGGCACGGTTTCTGCAGCCCCCCAGGTAGAGGGGTGTGACTCTGGCACCTGAGCTAGCCAGCATTTCCAGTGCCCAATGCTGGCACAGTCTCATGCTGCAGGTCACCTATGTATTAGCCCAGAGATAGCTGCATCCTTGATCCCTGCCTCCCTCCTCCCCCAATGGTGTGTGTGAAATTTCCCAGGCCGGGTGCAAGAGGCAGGAGACAGGGGAGGTGAGAGGCCGCCATGGCCTGGATAGTAGGGACAATGAGGCTATTATAGTTCAGACGGTGGGTCAGGAAGGGAAATTCCCCCTGAGTCACCGATAGAAATGGATGGCCCAGCTTCCAGGGGGTCACTGTGTTTGGGCACCATCCACACTGCTTGCCAGTGTCAGCAGCAGGAGAGCAGGTATAGCTGGTGCCACAGTGAAAAGCGCAGGCTGTGCCCATGCTGTGGTGTGTAGCTACATGTGTGAGGGGAAGGCTCCAGCAGCTCCCCACTGGTGGAGCCTTTCACTGCGGGGGAAGGAGGGAGAAGGCTGTGTTAAGGGGGAGCTGGTAGAGCCTTTCCCTGATGCAGGATGGGGTGGGAAAGGCTCTAGCAGTGTTGGCGCAATGGGACACTTCACTGTTAAACATACCAGCGTAAATGGGGATACACGGCTAGGGCAAGTAAAGAGTCAGGTAGGGTGTGTATGTGGGTACGTACCCACGCTCCTTCATGTGTGTCTTTACTGTACTCACCTAAGCCACAAGCTGGCCACTCACCCGTTCCTGGAATATCGGACATTCCGGTACTTTGGGGAATGGCAGGGGCCTGCCCTGTCAGCGCGACACTGTATGCAAGGTCCTGCTCTATGGCGGTGGTGGTGGGGGGCCCTTTTTAAGAACTGGAGGGGTAGAGTGGTGTTTCCTATCAGATACTGGACAGAGCTGTGTTTGGTTTTGTCCCCGTACAGATGAGGAAAAACCTCTGAAAAAGAGGACTGTCCAGTTTAATACCAGACAAGTGGCCTCCCTACTGAGCCATGCCTCATCAGCTACACTGCTATTTAGACCTATGCTAGTGGGGACTACTCATGTACGTACTCTACATGCCCCCAAAAGCAGGCAGTGTAGATGCACCTCTAGACTCAACCCTGTTTCCTGGGGAGAGGGGGGGTGTCTCTTTAAATCACTATGAGCTAAGCTAGTCTGACTCTGAATTCCATCCCCCTGCCCGCCCCTAAAGTGATGCTGGCATTGCTGGGTCTCTCCCATGCTACTGAGCTGGGGCATGGGGAGAGGGGCACTCTACCCCATGGAGCATGCAGGGACATGCTCTGGAAGGAGGAGTCCAGACTCCAGGATTCACACCCCAGCTGGATCACCCAGTTTCCCCATGCATATGAAGAGCTCTGCAGAGGAAGGATTATTGACATCCTGCAGAAGCCCATCACTCTCTGGATTCTCTCCCTTCCCCCTGCCACCCCAGAAGTCACACTACAGAGGGGAGGGGTACATGGCAAGGGCCATTTGACTCATCACAGCACAGCCCCCCAGGGGCAAGGTACAGGAGCAGTAGCCCTGCTAGCGTGAACACCAAAATCCTCATCATACCTCTGTCTCCAGTTACTCCCTGGCTGTGCTGGGACCTGGACTAGGACCTGGTATTTATCAGCTGAGAGTGCCCTGCCCTCCTCCCCTGGCTTGCCTCACCTTGCTGCTTCCCCATAGCACACGGGAGACATTAAGCAATGCCCAGCAGTATAGGCAGGTCTGTGCCCCAGAGTGCAGCAGACAGAGATATCCGGAGCGGTCAGGAGCTGCAAGGAGTCAACTGGCATCAGAGACCTAGATGGAATTCTCCCTGTCACAATCCATACTCCCACTTCCCCAGTTGACTTGGTATCACAGGGCCCTGGGTTATATCTCACTGGGGGCCGTAGGACTGTGTGACCACAGCTGGCTAACACCTCCACACGAACACACTGACACCATGTGCCACCCCAGTGAAGTTGTGCACCAGTGTAAGGGAGAGGGAATTTGGGCTTCTTGGCTTTATCCCTTCCTGATTTCCCAGGTCATAGATTTCATAGACTATTAGGGTTAGAAAGGACCTCAGGAGATCATCTAGTCCAACCCCCTGCTCAAAGCAGGACCAATCCCCAGACACATTTTTACCCCAGTTCCCTAAATGGCCCCCTCATGGATTGAACTCACAACCCTGGGAGTTTAGCAGGCCAGTGCTCAAACCACTGAGCTATCCCTCCCCCTGCATTGTGTGCAGGTGGTCCTGGCTGTAGGCAGGAGTGAGGGGAATTGGCAGAGCTGGGGGGAAAGCGTTACACAGGGATAGCAGGGGTGTAATGGGAATCGCCAGAGCTGGGTGGGGGCTCAGTATTGGAACGGGGTGGGCGGTTCTGTGGTCCAGGACTCCAGTGATTTCAACTGAAGCCGGAGCTGTCCAGCACCTCTGAATAGCAGGCCCCAGGAGTCTCACATTAGACACCCAAATCTAGTGGGTGCTTGAAAACTTAGCCCTTGACTGTTCTGTGTCTCAGTTTCCCATTAGTACAATGGGGGTGATCATCCCTTCCTCACACACCAAATGTTGGGGGTAGAGTTAGTTCATCATCTATGCATAGCACTAGGAGATCCCTGCTTAGGAGAGGGGTGTTGCAGTCTTGCCCGTGTATGAGGGTTTCATCCCCAAGTGCTGGAAGGGATACAGGGAAACAATGGGTGGAAATTTTGCAACAAACAACACCCCCCCACACCTTCTCTTATCACAAAGGGGTTGTGAACAGACATAAAGTCTCTTATGAAAGTGGGTGGGTGGCTTTTAATTTACCTTCACTGGGAAAGGGGCATGTCACCACCCCTGGGAGATGAACCTACAACAACAAGGGCTCTGGGTATTGCAGGCCTGCTAGCTAGATTCCTTCTGGCCTGACAAAGCCCTGTCAAATCTGTAGAGCAGGGGTGGCCAACCTGTGGCTCCGGAGCCACATGCGGCTCTTCAGAAGTTAATTTGCGGCTCCTTGTCTAGGCACCAACTCCGGGGCTGGAGCTACAGGTGCCAATTTTCCAATGTGCTGGGGGGTGCTCACTGCTCAACCCCTGGCTCTGCCACAGGCCCTGCCCCCACTCCACCCCTTCCTGCCCCCCCGAGCCTTCTTGGGGGTAGCTTCTTGTTATGTGGCTGTTTCCTGAGTTGGGGGGTAGAAGCTTATCTGAGTCACAGGTGCTTGGGCTCAAAATGCTTCAGGTAAAGTGGTGGGGGGGGAATGAGGGTTGCTAGGAGCAAACTGAGCTGCTTGCTGTAGAAGTGGGTAGGTGGGTTTTAATTTACCCTCACTAGGAAAGGGGCAGAGTTACAACCGCTGGGAGCTGAACCTACAACGACAAAGGCTCAGAGTAGCAGACAGCTATTAGCTAGAGCCTGCCTGGCTTTGGTTGGCTACTCTCACCTGCCCCTTGTCAAAGCTGCAGAGGATGGGACTAGAGCTGTGGCCCATGCTGGTAATGGAGGAATCGCAGACACCTGAGTGCTGCTGCCCCCTGTATAAAACCAGCCAGTGGGGGCAGCTTTTCCTCATGTGGCTGTTTCCTGAGTGGGGAGTGGAAGATGGGAGCTCCTGGGGGTTGCTGGACTTTGCTCCTCTTAGTCACTGGTGCTTGGGCTCAAACTGCTTCAGGTAAAGTGGGGGGAATGAGGGATGCTGGGTGTGAACTGAGCCTCTTGCTGTGGTTTATCCTCCAACTGTGTGGGGACTTCCTGCTCTGGGTTCCAGCCTCCTGGAAGAGCTGCTGGGTGGGCAGAGCCGGATCCAGGTCCTGTTGTTCCAGTGTTTCACTGGAACTTTATGTTCTGGGCAGGTAAAACCTAGGACTCTCCTGTATGGAATGTATTCTGGACACCTGCTCAGTGACTTATCTGCTGGCAGGGTGCCTACAAAGCTTCACTTCCTCCTGGCCCATGTGGGAAACCCATCTCTTGCCAGTTAGTCCAAACTGGTTGTTAAATTTAGAAGCCGGTTTAGAACCGGTTGTTAAAGGGGTGGGCTGTCTGGCTGAGCCCGCCTGAGCTCCCGGCTGGGGAGGCTCCACTGGCCCCTCCCCCACCTCCCCCCTTTTTGCAGAGCCTCAGCGTGCTGCGCCGCCAGCGCTCTGGACCACTCCTGGGCAGCTCGGCAGCTCCTGCTGCTTTGAGCGGCATGGTAAGGAGGTGGGGCTGCGAGCTCCAGCGGGCCGCACGGCATCCATACACGCTGCCCTGAGCAGCATGGTAAGGGGGCCGGGCCAGGGCTGGGAGGAGGGGTTGGATAAGGGGCAGGGAGGGGGTGGAGGCTCTGGGGTGAGGTCAGGGAACAGGGCAGGGGTGGTTGGGTAGGCATGGGAGTTCTGGGGTGTTACCAGATTTGCCCATTACTTTGGGGTATGCTCATTTATTCAGGTTACTCTTCTGGGGAAGGGGATTCTGTAATCCTATCAATGTACTGCTTGTGTCATTTGTGTTTTCATATGGAGCTCTGCTCCTTCCTTCTGCAAGTCCCCTCCCAATGGAGCCATCCTGCAGGACCTAGGTTCCCCAGGGCTGGGTTACTCCAGCCCCAGAACTGGATGAACACACCCACACATCTTAACAGAGGAAGTCTGAGTGGATGGGGTCAATCAACACTGTCAAGCTGACCCCTTTATATGTCTCTGGACTCACTGGGCTGGATGAAGCAGCATTTTCAAGCTGCCTCTCCTTATATGCCCCTGGGCTCCATGGACTGGGTCAAGCAGCACTTTCAAGCTGTTACCCTTATGCGTCCTAGATCCCCTTAGAATTGGTCTGATAACTGCTGAGCTGGGTGTGTGCAGGCATAGGTTCATTAGCATCTGGAGCAGAGATTCCCATGATGCAGTGCTTCCCTGCTTTTTCTGGTCCCAGAGTTCAGTGCAGTTCTCTGTTCTCCATTCTGTATGTAAATTGAGATGTCTTAATCTTATCACCCTTTTCAGGAGGGGTCTAGGTGTGTCTCCCCACGCCCTTCACTGCTCTCTGCAAGTTTTTTTTTCTCTGATGGGTTTTGGTTTTGGTTTAAGCAGAGGCTGGGTGTGGGGAGGGAGGTGTCTTTCATGAGTCAGGCTGGATCCTGCACTCTGGTTCCCCAAGAACACAGAGCTGACTGGTATCAGGGGGTCTATCGGGGTGGTGGTAGATAGGGTTGGGGCAGTCAGGGGACAGGGAATGGGGTGAGTTGGGTGGGGTCCTGGGGGGGCAGTTAGGATGGGGGGGGTCTCAGGAGGGGGTGGTGGGTTGTGGGTTCTGAGGGGGGGCAATCGGGGGCAGGACATGGGTAGGGGTCAGATGGGGGGGGGGGTAACAGGCTGTTTTGGGAGGCCCAGCCTTCCCTACCCAGCTTCCAATACAATTTTGCAACCAGACGGCTTAAGGAAGTGCGGGGCCCAATTTGAACAGTTATGACAGGGCCCTGGCAAGGATGACAAAAAAAAACACACGTGGAAAAAACCACATGGGGCTTGTACTCACCAGGCAGCGCTCCGAGTCTTCGGCGGCGGGTCCTTCACTTGCTCTGAGTCTTTGGCGGCACTGAAGGACCTGCCGCTGAAGACCTGGTAGGGATCCGGTTGTTAAGATTGTCGGGGACTTTTTAACCCAGACGGCAAGGTTCGTTGTCTGACCGCAGAGTGAGAGACAGGCAACACCAGCAAGGTCCAATACAAGCTCTTTATTGAAGAGTGCACACAACAATAGAGAGCGGCGCGTCTCCAGAGAGAACCAGCCACGATTACAATAACTAGTGAGATTATATAGACCGTTCCGTCGCGTCATAGTTAAAGCAACCCAATCCCCCCCTTTACTAGTTAAAAGCTTCTAATATTTATGCATATCTATGTTTGACAGTACAAACAGTTCATGATGCCTCAGCAGCTTCTTATCAGCTTTTTCGTCATGCACCAGAAACTAGGCGAAAGGAGGGAGTTAAGAACAGAAACAGGGAGTGGAGACTGCAAGTCTTCATATGTCCAAACAAACCGTTCCTAGTATATTTGGTACAAGAATACGGCCCCCCCTTTATCTCATTCTTTGAAGCCCAAGCAAGCATGTCCTCATGTTTCACAGAGAGACAGGAATGGCCCAGCAACTACAGTTAGCCTAACTTTGGCTAAGCTGGCCAAACAACCTGTTCTATACTCCATTTTCCTTGGACCTAACAAGATTTTGGCAGCTCATCTCTGGGGACACTCATTTTCCACTATCCTTGCCTTCCCAAACTGCTGATTAGGCAAAGCCATCAGCTCACAAGGCTGCCTAAGCCCATCCAAACTTTCCTTGCCTTCCTCTCCCTTGTCCCAGCACCCAGGGCTAGTTACAGACAAATACTAGTACTAGGAGAGTGGGTATGACGGGTTAGATCACAGAAACCCCCTTGGGAACTGCCACCTGATGTGCCAAGACTACTTCTGACCCTGCTTTCCCTGCCCTTGTTATACCAATTAAAGACTAGCAGGATCTTATTAAAGGGAACAAGATAAAGATGCCACATTTATTATGATTTGATTGATGACCAATAAGTAATATCTTAATCCTTATACACACACATTATACCTATACACATATTTACACACACACACCCATCAGATGTTCTGCAGCTGCTGCATAGTTACCAGTCCTGCTTGAGTTTGCAGCTTGGGTTCGTAGCTTGTGGCGGCTAACTGTCCAGGAAAGCCGGGCACAAGGACGAGCTGGGTCTCTGTTGGGCATGCACCGATGCCCTTCCATGTTGGCAGCAGAATGTTATCCTCCTCTAAAGTTTTCCATCTCACCCATCCTTTTTGTAGGCTTTAGTTTGAATCCAGAGTCTACAGGTCTTGCTGTGTCATGCTGCCTTCAGGTTTGGTGATTGATCACCCGTCAATTGCAGACATGACTTTCAGCCTTGGACCGGGCTTTGATCTTCCTTTTATTGTACCTTTTCTTTTTAGGGTGGATTCTTCTTACTTTGTTAGGGCTCTTGTCTGCATCTTCAGCCCTTGGTG